CACAGGGTTCAGTCCTGGACCCAGTGCTCTTCAACATCTTTATTAATGATTTAGATGAGAAAGTACAAGGAAAGATAATCAAATTTGCAGATGATATAAAACTGGGTGGAAGAGCAAACACCCTAGAAGACAAAGACAGAATAAAGATCCAGGGCAAACTTGATAACAGAATGAGATCCAATAAGGACAAGTGCCAAGTCCTTCACCTAGTAAAAAGAACCAAATGCATTGATACAAAATGGGGAATACCTATGTGGCTCAACAGAAATGAAAAAAAGATCTCAGAGTAATTGTGGACAACAGGCTAAATGTGAGCCAACAATGCAATGCAGCCACCCAAAGGGCAAATGCTACTTTGGGATGCATTTACAGAAGCATTACTTCCAAATCATCCTATACTCCTCACTAGTCAGATCTCATCTGGAATAGTGTGTCCAGTTCTGGGCACCAAGATTTAAGAAAGATGCAGAAAAATTAGAAAGGGTCCAGAGGAGGGCAACAAAAGTGATCCAAAGTTTGGAAACACTGTCGTATGAGGAGGGACTGAGAGAACTGGGCATGTTCAGCTTTAAGAAGAGAAGACTGAGGGGGGACATGGTATCCCTCTATAAGTATCTCAAAAGCTGTCACAAAGACAAAGGTCAAGATCTCTTCTCACTGATACCAGAGTGAAGGACACAGAACAAACAATTCAAGCTGCAACAACCCAGATTCAGGCTAGCTATCAGGAAAAGCTTCCTCACTGTCAGAGCAATACAACAGTGGAACCAGCTGCCTAGGGAGGTGGTGGGCTCTCCCACACTAGGGACATTCTAAAAGAAACTGGGCAGCCATCTGAGTGGGATGGTGTAATGTGGTGCCCTGCAGCCTCAGGGGGTTGGACCTGATGGCCTTATGGTCTCTTCGACTCTACTATTCTATGATTCTCTTCTATGATTTTCCTCCATCTGGTCTCAAGCCGTCTCCTCTTCTGTTTTATTGGTCTTGGTTCCCAGTATGTGGCTGTGTGTCATGAGCTCTACTACAGAGAATGTGCTTGGGAATGAACTTATCAATTTCCTGGGTTGTCCCTATGATCCAGAGATTGACCAGGAATTTGATAGGACCACCAGCCATATCACTTAGAAAGCTCCCCAGAGCCCTGTCGAAACCATTTGGAATCATCAACATCTGGAGGCAGATCATCCATTCCAGTTGCCATTAGTGTAAATCTCAGCAGGCACTCACCTGACCAGGAGAAAGGGACTGATTCAAAGCCCCCTACTTCAGATTGATATCTCCATGCCTGGCTGAAAAAAGTGAATCCAGTTTGTGCCCTGTTGCCTGTGTTGGGCTGCTGACTTGTTGAGACAGTCTCATGGTTGCCATAGAGTCTATGAAATTCTGAGCTGCTCCAGATAGGGCACTCTCAGCATGGATTTTAATGTCCCCCTGGACCAATAGCCTGGGGAATTCAACATTGCAGCTGAGACAACCTTTGCCAACTCAGGGAAGGAAACTATTAAGTCATAGGGTAGATGGGTAGACCAACAGAATCCCCATTCTGTCCCACTGGCTCAACACAAGATGTAAACACTCTTGATTAGGAGTCAGATAAACAGGGAGCCTGGGGAGATAAATAAGAATTTCCGTAGACTGTATGATCCCTCCTCCCTTCCTGGCCCTTCATTCTTCCTTGATGCTGTACCAAGTATCTCAGTGGACAGAACTGTGAGAGGCTAATTCCCCTCTTTCCCCCTCCCATGTCTCGGTTATATTTTCCAGATCAGCTGTCTCATCCACTAATAAATAATGGATGTGTGAGGTCTTTTTTTCTGGCTAATCTGGCATTTAGAAGCAAGATCCAGAGGCCTGAGAGCAGGCTGATACAGGAACCACCAAGATGCTGCATCTCGTTACCCATCACTATACTCATTGACCCCCAAGCAGGAACCCCATTTGGTCCCATTCCCTTCCTCCGTGGCTCATACCCAGAGCCTGTGAAGAAGAGGAAAAATCCTCACTCCTAGATACTAAGTAACAGCACTGTTAGAGGGCAGGCCTTGCCTTTGTGTCCCCCTCCTAAGGTGGTCCCCACTAAAGGATCCTGCGAGGCCTCCGATCCCAGGTGAGAGGTGTCTGTAACCAGCAGGAATGAAGGCAGGTTGGCCCTGGGGGAATTATTTGTTGTTGTTGTTTTGTAGGAATGGAGCCTCTGGAACTTCTCTCAGCAAAG